TATAAAATGTTGTCATTTTGACGTTTTATTTGACAATATTCTATCATTAATTTGACGTTTAACAATTGTCATTAGGTAAGTCGATGGGAGATTTCCGTGCGATAAATTAGAAATCGAAATGCAGTGTTTGCCGCATTCGAGAATATCCCCGAAGGCGGAATTTCTACAAACACTTTTCTCGCAAGATTTCCATCGCTCCAACGAAACAAAAGAAACTTGCTTTTACCTCTTGCGATCGTTTCCCAGGTAACAAAGTATATCTCCATTAGCGACAGAGGGAAAAACAAAAGAAACTGTTTGCAATTTGCGATCGTATTTGTTTTTTATTAAGTAATTACTCGATAACGATACAAGATAATTTGATTATCGCAAAAAAAGCAAATTGAAGATGAAACAATGGCATTTCCACAAACAAAACATTATATTTTAAATTTCATAAACTTAACAAATTGCATTTCGTTACAATTACTTCGAAGGTGAATAATGAATGTGATTGTGAAAAAAGTAAAGTCCAAATTGCATTTAATAATTGATATGCACTTGATGAATGTTATTGAAAATATTGTTGTTGTTTGCTTTTGAATGAAGACGATCAATGTACAATAATTTTTCAATTATTATTGTTTTTCTCATGACTCTAACTTTGTTATTTACTGTTGCATGTATATTTCCAGATGTTGCGACGATTCGAATGTCCCGCCCGCAGTTCCACCAATGACGGACGGCCATTTGTATTTTGTCGAGCGTCGCGCGTTCCGATTGGCCGTCGGCGATTAGAAACATTTCGTGTTGGATGGCGATTGGTCGGTGCAACTGATGACATGGGAATCGCGCTTGCTGCTGTCATCATTCCGGCTTGTGGCATGTTCGAGAGCGGCGCTCTCTGAAAACGGAACGCAACCGGGCGAAAAATACGAGTGCGTTTTAAATTTTTTCCGTTTCATTCCAAAAAAACACGCTCGTTCGAAATGAACCGAATGCAGTTTTTGGTTCTCGGTCTGTTCCTGTTGGGTGAGTGTTGTGTGAGAATTCCAATCGGAATTCAAGGGAAACAAAACAATTTCGTTTGCAATTCAACTGTTTATTTCTTCCAGGATGTTCCTGCAGGGCCGAACTCTTCGAAGGGGAGGGCACAGTGGAGACGGTCGACATCGATTTGGGTGCAAGCAAAGTTGGCTCGAAGACAGGTTAGTGATCCTCCCAATAGTTTACGGTCTGATCCTCGCAAAGTTCATCAAGTTTTCCTTTGTCATTTGCTGGGTGTGCTTCCCGAAATGCAGTGATGGGCTGGGGTTGTCTATGTGCAGCTCAAACCATCCATACCTTTCATCGAGAAAACAATGTTAATCTATATGTAATTCAGTTGGATTCAGTTACTTTTGGTTCTCTGTCATTGGACTTTCTGATAAGTCTTTGGGATCCAAGACTTTGAGGTGCTCCATTCGATCCACCAAATCAGACACTTGGAAATTGTCCCTTACATATGGTTTCGAAGTTATTGGGGTTACTGTAAATTGATAACAGTTTATTTTAGATAACAACATTTGCATTCTTATTGAAACATGTAATTCATACTGATATTTGAAGGGAGTAGCTAACTGTATCATATTTCATTATATTAATTATGTTATATGATTACCGAATTTTAACGGTTTCCCCGATTGCACGTAAGATCTTCCCGGTTCTCTTTGATTCACGAAGCACAGCTTGAAATGTTTACCGGATTTCTCCATGTTGTTTGATCGATATTCGATTCTTTATCGTTTGCAGATGATGAGGTTGTTAAAAGGGAGGAGGAGGCGATCAAATTGGACGGACTGAATGTGGCCCAGATGAAGGAGCTTCGCGATAAATCGGAAAAGTTCACGTTCCAGGCTGAGGTCAACCGAATGATGAAGTTGATCATCAATTCGCTGTACCGTAACAAAGAGGTAAAAAGCATCGATTTGCATAAAATGTGGTTTGTTTATTAATTTATTGTTTTCTATTTTTGTAGATTTACTTGAGGGAATTGATTTCTAACGCCTCCGACGCTTTGGACAAGATTCGTTTGCTTTCGTTGACCGATAAGGGAGTGCTGGACACGAATCCCGAACTGAATATCAGGATAAAGGCGGATAAGGAGAACAACATGCTGCACATCACTGATACTGGTATTGGCATGACCAAGCAGGATCTGGTGAATAATTTGGGAACGATCGCCAAGTCGGGAACGGCAGAGTTTTTGAGTAAAATGCAAGACGCCGAATCCGCGAAGGATATGAACGATATGATTGGTCAATTCGGTGTCGGTTTCTATTCGGCTTTCTTGGTCGCCGATCGCGTCATCGTCACCACCAAGCATAACGATGACAAGCAGTACATTTGGGAGTCTGATGCCGCGAGTTTCAGCATCGTGGAGGATCCCAGAGGCGACACCCTCAAGAGGGGATCGACCGTCAGCTTGCAGTTGAAGCCGGAGGCTAAGGATTTCTTGGAGCAGGAGACAATCAAGACTTTGGTGAAGAAGTACTCGCAGTTCATCAATTTCCCTATTTACCTGTACGCCAGCCGCACCGAGCAGGTGGAAGAGGTTCTGGAGGAGGACGAAGTCGTCGAGGATAAGGTCGACGATGAGGCGGCTGTCGAAGAGGAGAAGGAAGAGGATAAGCCCAAGACGAAGAAAGTGGACAAGACTATCTGGGATTGGGAGCTGTTGAACGATAGCAAGCCGATTTGGACGAGGAAACCGAGCGAAGTCGAGGGAAAGGAATACGATGAGTTCTATCAAGCGTTGACCAAGGATAGCAAAGATCCTCTGGCCAAAGTGCATTTCGTCGCTGAAGGAGAAGTCACCTTCAAGGCTTTGCTCTATGTACCGTTGTCTCAACCCACCGAGAGTTTCAACAGGTACGGCACTAAAACCGACAACATCAAGCTGTACGTGAGGAGGGTCTTCATCACCGACGAATTCAACGACATGATGCCATCGTATTTGAGCTTCATCCAGGGCGTCGTCGATTCCGACGATCTTCCGTTGAACGTGTCCAGGGAGACATTGCAGCAGCACAAACTGATCAAGGTGATCAAGAAGAAGCTCGTCCGCAAGGTGCTCGATATGCTCAAGAAGCTGAACGACGAGGACTTTGCCAAATTCTGGAAGGAATATTCGACCAACGTCAAGCTGGGCGTTATCGAGGATCCGAGCAACAGGACCCGTCTTGCCAAGCTCCTTATGTTCCACTCATCCAACGGAGAGGATCTCACCTCTTTAGCGGATTACGCCAAGAGGATGAAGCCCAAGCAGGATCACATCTATTACATCGCCGGCTCCAGCAAGGGCGAAGTGGAGAGATCGCCGTTCGTTGAACGCCTTCTCAAGAAGGGCTACGAAGTTCTGTACCTGGTGGAGGCTGTGGATGAGTACGCGATCTCAGCCATCCCCGAATTCGACGGTAAGAAGTTCCAGAACGTCGCCAAAGAGGGTTTCAGTCTGAGCGAGAGTGAAGGAAGCGTGCAGCAGCTGGAACAGCTCAAGACCACCTACGAACCATTGACCAAATGGTTGGCCGAGGACGCTCTCAAAGAGAACATCGCCAAGGCGACCGTCTCCGAGAGGTTGAGCGATTCCCCGTGCGCTTTGGTTGCCAGCATGTTCGGCTGGACCGGAAACATGGAGCGTCTTGCCATCTCGAACGCCCATCAAAAATCGGACGACCCGCAGAGAGCGTACTACCTGAACCAGAAGAAGACTTTGGAGATCAACCCGAGACATCCGTTGATGAGGGAGCTGCTGAAGAGGGTGAACGACGATCCTGCAGATCCGGCTGCCAAGGATATGGCTGTGATGCTCTTCAGGACGGCAACACTTCGCTCAGGTTTCATGCTCAAAGAGACGGCAGAGTTTGCGGAGAGTATCGAAGGTATGATGAGGAAGACGCTCGGAGTGCCATTAGATGAGGCCATCGAAGAGGAGGAAGATGTACCCGAGGATGGAATCCCAGAGGAGGATGAACATCAGGAGGATATCGAAGCGGAAGAACATGACGAGCTGTAAAGGAATCGAAATAATCGAGATAGTGAAGAAAGAAACTGTTGTTGTAAACGTGCGTCGAGTGTTTACCGTGAATTGTTGAAGAAATGAAATTGTGAAATGAAGTTCGCGAGAGATTTATATAAGCTATTAAGACTGTATCATTTTTGTTTTGTATTTTTTTTCCCCCATTCATTCTTGTATTTATATTTTCAATAAATATACAAACGGAAATGTACGCACCTAATTTCAATGAAACGAACGAAAAGTTTATTAACAAAAGGAAAATAACTTTATTTGATATATATATAAAAAAGGAAAGAAAGAAAGAAAAGATGATTAATTGAGAAGGAATTGCTACTACAACATAAATTTATCTTTGTTCTGCGAGACGATCTTTGCCGAAGATTTGGCGTCGAGGAAGAGCGAACTGACTTCGACGATGTCCTCCCTCTTAATCTCGTTCCTCCCATTGGTCTTCGCCGTTAGAGATGCGGGCGTCATCAGTTGCACGGCGTACCTCAACGTCGATCTCACACCCACATCGCTGAGTGCTGCCAGTGCATCGTCCTCCATCTCCAGACCTTCCGTCAACGCTCTCAACTTCAATATCTGCTCCAGATCGGGTTTATCGTACGGCAACGTCCTGATTATCACCAGCCTGTCGAGCAGATCCAAGGGGATGCCGTGCGGTGCGATGATGTCGTCCGTTCCGCGGATCACGCATCGTCCTCTGTTCGTGGCGAAGATGACGATCGGTGCGATCGCACTCTCCAACGCCCTGTGCAGATACGTGAACGTTTCGATGTCGAGCATGTGCACTTCGTCGATGAAGAGGACGCCCGGCACCAGTTCCGCAATGCCCTGATCGATGTACTTGTCAACAACTTTATTGATCTCCTTCCGCAGTTTGTCCGTGATCTCGGTCTTCTTCGGCTTCATCAGTTGACTCATCATCGAGAGTACGTCCTGTCCGCCCTGCGGTTTCGAGTTGGCCGCATCCAAATCGTGCAGAGTCACATCCTGAACGACCTCCTTCTTCTTATGAACGTCCCCTTTAGGAATCGGCACGTATTCCTCCGCCTCCAGATCGAACTCTGTGGCGTACGTATCGCATCTGCCCTGCCTCTTCACAGCTCCACTGTTTGCTTCGATGTAGATTACATCGCCGACCTCCACCTTTTCCTTCTGCAACGCCTCGTATATACTCGGATCCAGCTTCAACTGTTTACTTCCTTTGGCAGTCCGCAACCCAATCACCACATGGCTAATAGTCTTTCCATATCCTAAACAATCAAAATGGTTTCGTTTAAATACAAAATTAACTAGAATTCAGAAAATATCAACCTCCTGATGGATTATCAGTTTCAACTGGGGACAGTTCGACAACCTCTCCTTCGTACACCTCCTTGTTTTCCCTGATCCTCAACCCGATGGCCCTCCTGAAGTTCTCCATCAGCACCTCAGTCTTCTTGATCTCTGAGCTGTACACCTCGGATCCCACCATCGGACAGAATGGTACTTTATTACCCAATTCCTGAGCAATGGCCAAAGCGATAGCTGTTTTACCTGTGCCTGGTGGTCCGGCCAAAAGGATAGCCCTTCCAGCCATCTTCTTGCTTCTGATCATGTCGACTACGACGCCGGCGGCCTAAGCAGGAACACGAACATGAATGAATAGAGACAATTGATGGAAGAAACAAAGTTGTTTGTAAAACTAACCTCTCTCGCCTGCTCCTGGCCCACGAGACCCGCTGCCATTTGGATGGCATAGCCCCTCTCGTCCAGACCGAGCCCTTTGATGTGGCTGTGGGCGCTGATCCTCTGCGTCTTTACCGTACTCTTAACTTCTTCCACCTTCATTTTATATAGCTTACTGCTTGGTTGTAACGAAACTAAATTGTAGAAATTGAAAGACGCACTTCTTCACCCCCACACTCAAACAGCACCGGTTGATATGGAAACAAAACAAACCAACTCGTTGCGTTGGTAGTATTGATTGAATCGAACTTAGGCAACTTTAATTGTTTGTTAACTTTTTAATACCGTAGATCAGTAGTTACCAAACTTGATGTTACTACGCCTCGAGCATTTTTTCAACTTTGAACACGAATTACAGCCAAACGGATAAAACCACAGTAATATATCTATACTTGCTAGATTCCCCAAACATTCAGCTTTCATATACATATATTGGATTCATTCTATCTATTACAGTTTTCGAGAAAATCAATGAAATGTAAAAACACTGCTTTTTCGAGCATTTTTTAAACTTTGAACACGAATTATAGCCAAATGGCTAAATCCACAATAATATATTGATACTTGCTAGATTCTCCAAACATTCAGCTTTCATATGCATATATTGAATTCAATTAACAAACAATTAACGTACGCAAATAAATGTACGTTAACCGAACTTGATATCGCACAAAACACCAGTGCGTTAACTGAACATAACGCCAATATTAATATTCTTCAGTTTTTAATATTATTTTATTTATAGAATTTTGAGGATTTTAAGTGAAAAAAATAATAATTAGGTATATTATAGCCAAAGAAAATATTTTATATAAATTTAGCCTCGTCGTTAAAATTAACCAACCGTTAGTTAATCTACGCCTTAGAGAACCAAAATAAATCAATTACAAAGCCTGTTACGAAATGCGTGATTTAGGAAGAATGGCTCTCATTAAAATAAATTATCCAGGCTGCGGTGCATCGAAAGAGAAGAGAACAATATGAAAATAGTTTCAGAAAACCGACAAAAAAAATAAAACGAGTAAAGTCACTTTGAGGATATTTTTGGAACTAAAATAGATACAGCTTATTTCTTGCCTAAAAGTGCTTTAACTGTAGAATGTAAATGCAATATAGTCATGCATTTAAATTAAGTTTGTTTCTAAACATGATTTTTATATTATTTAAATGCAATTTAATTAAAAATAATAATTGCTTTCAAGAGGTGGAAAGTACAAAAGTGAGTTGGAAATTAGATATGGCTATATCGGATGAAGATGCGGCTACCACCATTCGTTTTGACATCAATTTCCACTCGGTAACAGTATTAATGTTGTTATTTCAATGCACACGTTTCCATGGCTACAGCACGGCTGTTAAAGAAACTTAAAAAGTTAACAACTTAGAAAAGTGAACTAAATGATTAATTCGATTTAAATTAAATGAATTGTAGCATAGACCATATGCCAGATAATTCTAAAGTTAGTGTGGAGCAAATCTACGTCGCGTAGGTCTATCTGTTTTTTTTTTCGTTCGTTCCATTTTTTGTCTCTCCTCTCAGCCAAGTTGTATTGATGTCACCAGGAATGTCGTCGGTATCTTTCGATATTAAAATTAATGAAACAAAAAGTTTCCTAATTATATTCACCTAATAAACTTCTTTTAATTTTCATGATATTACAACTAAATTGTCCATTAAAAAAAATGTGATAGAATCATGTTTTATTCGTATAATTTGCATATTATATTACATATATCGATTAGACCTTCAGAAAGCAGCCATTTTGGTTCTAATTTTGTGTGGAAAGCACATGTGAAAGATTTTGAGAAGACAGATTTTTTGGGAGATTTTTATTAAAGTTTGCTGTTTGTCGAATGTTCGATTTCTAAATCATTTATGTTGAATGTAAATGATAAACAAGCAATTTATCGAAAGTACACAAGCAACAAATGGTTGCTGTATTATTCATAATTAAATTGCTCAGATTCGAAACCGCATTCACTTATTATTTCATGTTGTGCATTTTACAAATCCTAATAACATCTATTACTATGTAAACTTTTACTATTAATAGAGAAAATTTATTAATAAACAAGTAAATTACTCACAACAAAAACATATTTTTCACAATTTTTATATTTCTTACAACTTTTTGTTGAATTCAATTAATTATGATATACATATGTTTTCATATATGAAATACATTATTATTATTATTATTATATAAATACAGCAATACTTCGCACAGTACGGATAATTGGTTTCGAATAGCATAAAAATAAAGTGAAAATTATAATTTTGTTGCTCAATTAAAATTTAGTTTGTTTTGAAAATTACAAACTGGACTATAGTGAATCCGGACTGATCGAAGCCGCACTATCCGAGGTAATACTGTATATTATTATAACTAAATAAATGTAATGGAAATACAAACATTTATAAGTTTACTTCATTCAGTATTTACTAATAAAATATAATTTACAAATTATGCATATCATATGTGACCTTGACTATTATTACTTTTGTTGTTTTATCACTGTGAACTAAATTTTTCATGTATAATGGATTTTCTTATCCATGCATGTAACCTATTTGAGCATTTAAAGTCGGATCTAAGAAACAAAAAATTTAAAGAAAACAGTTGCATTTTAATTTTAAAAAAAATAGAAGTATTTACTAATATTCTAATGATCTTAATTTTATTGTTTTGGTTATGTAAAGATAAATATATTTTTTGAAACTTAGTTTATGTTAATATAAATTATAGGATATTTCATATAGATTTTTCAGTTATAAATATAAATTTAAAATATATTATTTCCATATGATCCAATACTGAAAATACAGCTGGAAAAGCATAAAATAAAACTAAGAAATATGCATATTGAACGAGTTATATGGATAGCGACGGGCGGCTACTGAAAATAAGGAAAGCTTTCAGAATTGTTGTCCAGTCATGCTTATCCAGAAGATTTCATTGCTTTCTATTTTTAACCTCTGCTTCTGATTTCAGAATAAACGAACTGCTGTAACACCGTGTTAAACAATTTATTAAATTTCATCCACAAAGATGCGCTGAACCACAAACTTTCATAAATCTAATCAACCTGAAGACAGAAGTCTTTATAAATTCTTCAGAATAACTAAAGTTAAGATCGTTTTTTGTTACAGCATTTCGGATGAAGTAAAATATCGTATTTCTCCAAACATAAGATGCACCATCTTCTAAAAAAACTATGTGAATATTATACTTATACCTTTTTTTATATTTCGGACACCAAAATTAAGGCGCGTCTTATAAATGGGAGAGTTATAATAATTAAATTACTTATTGAAAATGAATATTCTAAGTCGATTTCCATGTAAAAAGGGGCGTTTTATGGTACGAAAAATTATATTTATAAATTATTAAAAAAAAAACAGGAAATAATGCAACAATTTTATTTATTATTATTTATTACTCGTTTGTTTTGATGTGACATAATCCACTTACTTATTATTCAAAATAAAATGTTATACGATCTAAAAGAAAAAGAATATTTTAAAAATGATTATTTCAAGAACGCAATGCGAAATACACATCAATCGCGTGGTCAGACATCAAACAAACAAACGTCACATGAAGCAGCATGCGAATAAGAATAAGTTCTAGTGTTAATACTCTGGAGACTCATTTACTTTATAATCTACGTTAGATCTGTTTTTAATTACTTCTTAATAATTAATTACATAATTTTATTATATATACATTTATTTTATTTACGATAATTATATAATAGAATTACATTGATAATAGCGCGGAAAATTACTTTTGACAAGTATTATGATTCACGTTCTACAAGTACTCTTCCATGCACATCTAATACCTGCCAAAACAGCAATATCTCGCATAGTGCGGCTACGGTCATAGCGTATTCACTGTAGTTCGGTTTGAAATTTTCAAAACAAACTAAATTTTAAATTAAAATAAATTATAAAAAAAATAATCTTTCGTTTTCAATTTTAATTTTCAACTTAAGTTAAGTAATTTTGTTTAATATATTGTTTTTTTTTCTATTTAATTTTAAATTTGGAATATTTGTGAATTGTTGTCTCAGATCGAAATATGTGTTTGTAGATGCCAAATATAGCATTTGTACAAGGCGCCAAAACATCACTGAACGTCCCTGAAAGTTTGGCAAGTGACTTTAAATTCCCACACCTAACCAACTTCTGTTTTGGCCGATAATTATCGTTGGGTCTTTCATTCCTACGAGGAGCAAAGATTTTAATGAATTGAACAATATAAATATATTGATCACAATATTTGTCCACTTGTTCATTTATATAATAAAAAAAATGATTTAAACATTATTTTAAACATAATTATTTATTTACTAATTTAAGCCAAAAACTTATATCTTTCTGCTCAACATTTTTTGGACTATAAGACGCACCTTTTTACATCCACATTAAAATTGGGTTGTGTTTTATGGTCTAAAGTATATATATATATTTTTAAATTATAATAAAATTTTGGTCATTCTTAATAATGTAATGTAATTAAAATTTGAACAAAAATAGTTTTCGTTAGCTATGAAACTTCAAATGTGCCACGTGGTGTTCAATTCTTGTCATTTATCTTAAATTTTGAACTATTGTCGATAAATAAATGTATATGCGGTAGAGGAGTTTGAGCTTTTCCTGCGATATTATTGATGAATGTCTAATTTGTTGTAATAGTAAGATCAATCTATTCATTATCGGCTTTGGCGGTGCAAAGCTTTGAAACTTGTGGAACACTTGGTGCAGGGCCATCGGACTTTTCGTTATTGGAACACCGCAACAAAGTTAGAGGATGCACGTCATGCATATATTCGATTCGCTCGGTATAGTTGCATATGTTGTGAATAGGATTGAGATGGAGGAAGACGAAGGCAGGCAAAGTTTTGGATACGCGACCGCCGCCTCCTCCTCCTCCTCTTTCTCCTCCACTGCCGCCTCCGCTGCATTCTAATTTTAGTGCGAAGATGCAAATAGCAAACAAACTGAAACACGCACACATATGCATGCACACACCATACAAACGCTAACAATCGTTAGACCAATTTAAAACTGGGTTACATCGAAAATTTTTGGATGGATCGGATTGGGGAAATAGCGGCGGCGTCTACAGAATCCTAGTCTGAGGTGAAGGTATCCCGTTGAGATCGTCGATTTGAAGGAACAACGGAAGCAAGAAAG